TACTGGAGGTGCGGGAGGTGTAATTGTTACCGGCTCGGAATGAAAAGTCGGAGAGGCGAGTTCAAATTCCACTCGCCATCGTAACATTTTTTATGTGCAAATAATCTTTATGAAAACAATTAATAAAATTTGACCACCCTGTTAGTCTCTGTCAAGGATGACAAAAGTTGTAACCGTATCGAGAAAATTGTTCGAAAACAATTATTCGAAAAAAGATTCTTCGAACTGGAAATTTTTTGAAGGAAAACTAATCGAAAGGTCAATTATACTAAATGATAATTATTCGAAAAGCAAAATTCTTTATTGCAATAAAAATGTCAAAATTAAAGGACGAAATACACAAATGATAATTATTCGAAATACAAATATCGTTAATAACAGAGTTAAGTAAGAAAAATCCTAATAATCTTAAGTTACTTAATTAGTAATTACTGCACGCAAACTGAAGATTACTCTTTAAGTTTTCCCTTTACGTTTCGGTATTTCTCGGCGCTCTTGAGATTTTGGCAACCTGTTGTTACTTTTGCAATATGAATTTCTTGCAACTCGAAATAAAAATAGTGATAAATGTATCTGGAAAAATCATTGTCATGCCCCGCAAAAATTGTTCACCAATTTTTATTAGTAAAAAAAAAACAAATCATTTTTACCATGTAAATGTTTCAGCTTTAAATAGCACACAAATTCTAATTAAATCCATTTATTTTTTCCCATTTTCCTCTTTTATCTTTTACTTCCTTTCTCTTCCTTTCTCTTTTACTTCCTTTCTTTTCTATTTCATCTCCTTCTCTTTTATTTTTCTTACCTTCTCTTTCTATTTATACGCTTCTTTTATTTTCTTTTATTTCTTTTATTCTTTTTTTTTTGTACAGTAATCCTTCGATTAGTGCAGCTAATGTGATACGCAATAATCGAAAACGCATTAATCGAATGTAATAACTTATAGGAAACCATGTAATTTGTAACTCAAATTTTAGTCTCATTCAAAATTAAGTTCTAATTTGCGTACTTTTTAATTAAAATATAGGTACATATAAGAAGATACAATAAAATTATTCGAAATGCAAAATTCTTTATTACAATAAAGATGTAAACATTAAAAGAGGAAATACACAAATGTTAATTATTCGAAATACAAATATCGTTAATAATACAGTTAATTAAGAAAAATCCTAATAATCTTAAGTTATATAATACTGCACGCAAAGTCAACTACTTAAGAGTACTCGTTAAAGGATGCCGTTATTTTTTTTAAGTTTTCCATTTACGTCGCAGTATTTCTTGGCACTCTTGAGATTTTGGCAACCTGTTCTTACTTTTGCAATATGAATTTCTTGCAACTCTAAATAAAAATAGTGATAATTCTATCTGGAAAAATCATTGTTATACTCAAAAAAATTTTAATGCAATTTTCACTAGTAAAAAACATATTCATTCTTACAATGTAAATGTTTCAGCTTTAAATAACCCACAATGGGTTGGTAAGTCGTAAAAAAAATTCCATTTATTTTCTTCCCTTGATTTCTTGTTCCTTTCCTTTTTTATCTTTTACTTCCTTTCTCTCTCTTTCTCTTCTACTTCTTTTCTATTTCCTCTCCTTCTCTTCTCATTTTCTTATTCCTCTTCTATTTCTACGCTTCTTTTTTTTCTTCCATTTATTTTCTTTCTTTTTTTTTTGTACAGTAATCCGTCGATTAGCGGAGATAATGTGATACGCATTAATCGAAAACGCATTAATCGAAAAACGCATTAATCGAAAAACGTATTAATCGAATATAATAACATACAGGACATTATGTAATTTGTACCTCAAATTTTAGTCTCATTCACAATTAATTTCTAATTTGCTTACTTTTAATTAAAATATAGGTACATATAAGAAGATAGAATGAAAATACCATGAATTAATGTTTATTAATCTAATTTTTTAAGAAAAACTTATTTAGAGTGGCCTGCCGCATTGTATTCTTGTGTTCTTCATATAATTGGCGGTGCTGAGATATTGCACCTTCAAATTTTCCAAACATATAATCATTAGTATTTTATCCTGAATATTTTATTTATAATCTTCCCGTAATATATGCATACATCTTATATATTTCTGTATTTTTTAATAAATGTAAATTTCTGTATGTAATTTAATCTTTCATATTTTTAACAAAATATCTGAAATTTCCTTTTAAGACCTTCAAAATAAATATGAAAAAAATATCAAATATGCCAAAAAAATTAATAGAGACAAATATTCAAATATGTATTTTTATTATCGGCTTATATTATAAAATTTACCCACTTTATCTACATCCATTTTGAACACTTCTGTAATTATTTAGATAATGTAATACTTGACAAACGAAATAGTTATCCATTTTCCATTTTTAAATTTTAGGAATTTTTTAATTAATCGGTAACTATAAAGAAAATAAGTTTTCAATTACTATGGTTAAACTGAAGAATGTTTTACTGCATAATCGAGTATTTTTGGTGCACTAATCGAATTTTTGTATATAAAATTTTAATGCACTAATCAAAAACGCATTAATCGAGGGATTATTGTACTTCCTCTCGTCTTTTCTCTTATACTTTCTTTCCTTTTTATTCTATTTCTTTTCTTCCTTTCTCTTCTATTTTCCCTTCTCTTCTGTTTCTTTTTTCCTTTCTCTTCTATTTTTCCTTCTTTTCTTTTGCTTACGTTTGCCTTCTATGTTTTATTTCTCGCCCTCATCTTAATCTCCTCTTTATTCAGCCTCTCCTTTTCCTTCTTCTTCTTCTTCTTCTTCTTCTTCTTCTTCTTCTTCTTCTTCTTCTTCTTCTTCTTCTCTCTTTTATAGTTTCTTTTTTTTTCTCACCACATATATCTACTCCTGTTTTTCTTATTACTGTTTTTATATAATTCATTTGGCAGTGTCTCCTACTTTTCATCGTTATTATATTTTTTAGTAATTTAGAAAATGTCCATCTTGTTTTTTTTTGTTTTTTGGTTTTCCTTTTGTCATCTTTCTCGGCATGTGATTCTAATATTTTCTTTTGTTTCATTTACTTCTCTTTGATGTTTTCCTAAAACAACTGTCTCCAATTCGTCATTTTTAACGAGGTTACTTTTGTTTCCACTTCGTCTTTTTCCCGACTTTTATTCCTTCATTTTCTTCATTGTCATTATTATCGGCTTTTTAATGTTATTTTAGATTCTTCATTTTCTTTGGACTTTTTTTCTCCTTTCACACACCATTCCTATTTTGTCAACTCTTCATTATGCTTCTGCTGGTTTTTCAAGTTTCCTATTAGTATTTTTCTTCCATGTTTTAGTTCGATTTTTATTTCACGATATTCAGTTTCATCATCTATTGCGACTCTACCAACTTTATCCTTTACGGTTTGTTTGTTTTTTTACATTCTAATTTTCTCCATTTTTATATTACTTTTATTATTTGTCCCGGGTTCTTTCTTGCGTATTAGTTTTAGTTTTGTCTTTTATCTTTTCCCACGCGTCTGTCTTTCTATTTTGTATATCCCGCCTGCTTTTACATTTTCGCCGGTTTTTCACCATTCAATTTTCATCTAATTTTCTCTCTTCCATTGCCTTTTGCTTTTTCTTCATTCATTATTGTTTCCTTTTCGTTCTTCCATTGTTGTTTGCTTTGTCCTCTTTCATTTTCGTCTTTTTTTTCTTTCGTCCATAATCGTCTGCTTTTCTTCTGCATATTACACTTTCATTGTCGTCTGCTTTTCCTTCTTCCAGTTTCGTTTACTTTTTTTTCACCTTTTGAATTTGCGTCTTCAATTTTCTTCTCTTTTCAAATTCCGTCTGCTTTTTCCTCTCCCATTGTCTTCTGTTTTCTTTTTCATCGTTGTCTACTTTTTCGTATTTTATTGCCGTTTGTTTGCTTTTTTAAATCCGTTACCGCTTGCTTTTTCTTCTTCCATTGTCGTATGCTTTTTCTTCTTCTATTGTTGTCTGCTTTTTCCGCTTCCATTGTCGTTTCTTTCTTCCCTTCCCATTGTGGATTTCTTCTTCCTCTTTCAAACTTTATTATCGTTTATTTTAAATTAAAATTTATTTTCTGTTTATCTGCTTTTACCTCTTCTGTCTTTACTTTCTCGTCTGCCATTTCTCTTTCCAACCTGTCTTCCTTTTCTTTTTCAAATTTTCTTCCTTGTTTTTTTCATCAGCCCATTTCATGTCTTTAATATTTTCTTTGTTGACGCTTTCCTCATTTAAGATTTCCTAACAGTTTATCTGAGGATTCATATTTCATGTCTACTTCTTTATACCGTAAACCGCTGTTTTAACCGACTGATACCATCAGTTATATTTTACATTAAGACTTATACATTACTATAAAAGTACTCAAATATCTCATCGTCTTTTATTATTGGACACACACACAGATATATATATATATATATATATATATATATATATATATATATATATATATATATATATATATAATGAAATGGACAAAGTCCGACAATTATTTTAAGGTTATTTTTTATGTTTATACGTTCTTTTTATAGACACAAATAATTAAGTAAATGCTTTGTTTATAATAAACAGTATTAACGACGTTTACCGACCTGAAAATTTCTCGGACATTCAGGACGGTAAATGTCGTTAATGCTGTTTATTATAAACAGATCATTTACTTAAATATTTGTATGTATACAAAGAACGTATAAACATATAAAAAATGTCTTTATATATATATATATATATATATATATATATATATATATATATATATATATAATACATATGTTGCTCTGAGAGCCATTGGTCCGGTCGTTTGTCATACAAGAAACCTCAAAGTAAAAACACTTCTCTTTATAAGTGTGAATTTGACTACTTCTAAGGCTGAAAAAAGAAATCTTTACACTGAAATAACATTACATCAATAAATATAATGCATTTTTCCTTGGTGCTTATCACCTTTAAAATAAACTGCCACTTATAAGTGGCAGACGGAATTACCGCTAATACTAATTTGTGCAAGATGATGACATTGATATTGTTTATATATATATATATATATATATATATATATATATATATATTTATGTATGTATGTATGTATGAATGAATATATAATAGCATGCACTTAGTGCCAGTAGTAATAAAATAGTGCTCGATGTAAAATAATAGAGGTAAAATTAATAATAATAATAATAATAATACATTTTTTGTTCGTCACCGTTTGATACAACATTGAGTTTCATGCACGTGGCAATCGTCAGACACAAATTAAAAATGGCAACGATCAATATTCAATCCATGCCTGACGATTGCTACGTGCATGAGGAACAAAACGTACATTTATTATATATATATACATAAATACATAGATACAGATATATATATATATATATATATATATATATATATATATTGATGCGTGTTTCATTAAATAATATAGACAAGTGTTGTCTATTTTATGTAAATTCTTTTCATATTATCTGATAAGCTTATTAACATTATCATTATACGAAAAAAGAAAATCACAATCTTGATACATATTTTTTAATCCTATCTAAGCTTTCGGCTAACATAAGCCATTATCAAAGATGAGTTACATTATAATATATTAAGCAATACACGGACAAAACAGCGATGATAGTCTGTTTCTGTTTACATGGAAGATTTCCAAGCAACGACAAAGTCGTCCTTATAAAGACGCTGGAAGCGAAACTCGCACCGCAGCTCATGACGTCACACATAACCACGCGAGAGTGAAAACAAGAAGTGTGAAGTATGGGAAGCCGTTGGTATAAGTTAATGGCTTCTGTTAGCAATTATAAGCATTTAAGAATATTTGTGTAGACTTCATATTTTATTAGGTTGGTGCAAAAATAATGACGTAATAATGTTGTTTTTTGGCGTATTTTTTAACGTCAAAAAACGACATTATTACGTCATTATTTTTGCACCAACCTAATATTTTGTTCAAGTTAGGTTTCAACAGTTATATGTATATAGCTTCAAGAATTTTTAGTTTTTGTTGTTTTCATGTTTAAGTATAGTTGTGTTTTCAACAAGGATTTTCCGGAATTGTGTACGAGGCCAGGAATGTTGTTTTAAATGCCTAAAAATATCGGAGTTATCATTTAAATGTAGTGTCAAGAATCGTGAAAGCGAGCTTGTGGTGTGACCAACATAAATATTATTTAATTCGTTGGAGATACAATCTGCCAAAAGGCACTTGAATTTGTAAACTATGTTGGTTTTTTTGCAAATCGGTAACCGGGAGAGAAGAATCATTGCGAATAATTGAGTTGGATATACTAGATTTAGTGTAGTATATGATTAACTTATTATTTTTTTTTGCTCGGATCTGTTGTAGATGTTTTAGGCATTTAAGACAACATGCCTGGCCGCATACACAATTCTGGAAAATCCTTTTTGAAAACACAACTATACCGCAAGAGAGATACTAAGCTAGAGAGAAATGCATCGAATATCATGGATAGAGCATATGAACAACGAGGAAGTTTTAAGGCGAATACTAACTACAAGGAAACTGCTGCTAACATTAAGAAAGAGACAACTTAAATTTTTGAAACACATAACCGGGAAAGGCGGCTTGGAAACTTCCACACCCACAGGACATAAAACAAGGAGTAACCGCTTTGACCAGTTTGATTAAATGGATGTTAGAACATTGACAAACAGAAATGGTAAAGAGGTGAGAATAAGAGTATATGAGTGATTTGCATTTGTACGGTTTATTAACCCTTCGCAGGTTATTTACAGCCAGAAAATATTTTAGAGTGTAAGATTGTAATAACATACTGATACAAGTTTTACTAATTAACCTATAGCTGAGGGAGAAGATATGGATTTATATATTTCCCAAGAGTATTTGCGCGTGTGAATATTATGAATCTGGCTGGAATTGGATCTCTCCTCTACGATTTACAATTCCGAGCCGTCATCCATTACAACACTCGCATATCCAAGCTTACAAGACGTGGTATTCCCTAGCGATCACCCATCAACGTACTGACCAGGATCGACATTGCTTAATCGTATGGGGATCTGTGTTTTTACTTGATATGACCGTAAGCCGTGAGAATAAGTGTAAAGAAGACACATAACATAAATACTGATTGTGCGTAAAGATTCTTGGTTCTGACATTGATTTAAAATATGGATTCTTCCTTGTCTTCGACAAAATTACGCACTTTACGCACTTACCTTCTAAGGCGCATTACGGGAGTCCGGCTACGGTAAACGAAGGCCACCGACGAACTTAGGCACTACTTCGGGCTAGTGGTCCCATGACCACTGTCCAGGCACGACGCACGTCCGGCTACGGCAAACGAAGGCATTCGACGAACTTAGGCATTTAACGATTCTACGGGACTTACGCACATGCCTCGTAATGCGCATTACGGGAGTCCGGCTACGGCAAACGAAGGCCTTCTACGGGACTTACGCACATGCCTCTTAAGGCGCATTACGGGAGTCCGGCTACGGCAAACGAAGGCCTTCGACAAAATTACGCACTTTACGCACTTACCTTCTAAGGCGCATTACGGGAGTCCGGCTACGGTAAACGAAGGCCACCGACGAACTTAGGCACTACTTCGGGCTAGTGGTCCCATGACCACTGTTCAGGCACGACGCACGTCCGTCTACGGCAAACGAAGGCATTCGACGAACTTAGGCATTTAACGATTCTACGGGACTTACGCACATGCCTCGTAATGCGCATTACGGGAGTCCGGCTACGGCAAACGAAGGCCTTCTACGGGACTTACGCACATGCCTCTTAAGGCGCATTACGGGAGTCCGGCTACGGTAAACGAAGGCCACCGACGAACTTAGGCACTACTTCGGGCTAGTGGTCACATGACCACTGTCCAGGCACGACGCACGTCCGGCTACGGCAAACGAAGGCATTCGACGAACTTAGGCATTTAACGATTCTACGGGACTTACGCACATGCCTCGTAATGCGCATTACGGGAGTCCGGCTACGGCAAACGAAGGCCTTCTACGGGACTTACGCACATGCCTCTTAAGGCGCATTACGGGAGTCCGGCTACGGTAAACGAAGGCCACCGAACTTAGGCACTACTTCGGGCTAGTGGTCACATGACCACTGTCCAGGCACGACGCACGTCTGGCTACGGCAAACGAAGGCATTCGACGAACTTAGGTTGTTAGGTTCTGCGTTGCTTTCCTGTATCCCTCTTACTTTCGTTCCGTCGAGGTAAACCTTCACAGAAAGAACACGCCATGCCACTTACATAGTAACCAACCACCGACATTTCTTGTATATTCCATCGGTGAGGTGTAAGTTCTACTCAAACAGCTTCTTCCCGCGAAATGCTGTCCTGTGGAATCGACTCCCAACAGGATGTTTCCCGATCTCTTCAATGTTAATCTATTCAAGGCTAGAGTTAATCGTTACCTCTATACATTCAAATGGCCTCCTAGCGTAACCCTATATCTCGTGTGGTCCCCGGGCATTGCAAAGGGTGACTCTTAATGTAAATAAAAAAGTTTCAAATTCTCCAAACCCTTCTTTCCTTATTACGTGCCCTAGAAATCTCTCTCCCTCCTACTTATAAGGGCCGATATTGTTTTTATTTCCTTTAAAACTTCTTCGTTGTTCACATGTGCAGTCCGTGGTTTTTTCGGTATCTTTCGGTATCTGTCGGTATCTTTCTGTTGAACCGCATTTCTGTTGTTTCAAGTCTTTTCTTCATCTGTGAAGAGATTGTCCAACATTCGCTGTCATATAGAAAACCCATATTACACAACAGTTCAGTCAGAGTGATTTATGTGTGCAACGGAAGTCTAGAGTGACTCACAAAACAAATTACGAGGCGTGTCAGGAAATTAATGTCTGTCTTTTATTTCCCCTGAAACTATTAACTGAAATCTGATCCTTTTAGGTCACCAGCAAGGACAATTTTCACAGGCTATTGTTTCTGTTCTATTCTTTAGATCTTCCAGAAATGTGGATATAAAACAGAAACGAATTGCTTTGATCGAGTCCCTCGCCAAAATATGTTTTGCTGCTACCTGCATTAGCAGATGTCTAAGAAATACACGGCTAGGAGACAGTGAAGTGTATAGATGGGTGAAAAAGTTTCAAATCCTCTGAACTCAATGTTGGCGAGAAATCTCGTAGTCGAATGCCAGTACCAATATTCCCGGAGTGACCAACAGATAATTTTTT